TTCTTCCCCCTTTCACCCCTTCCTTTCTCCTCTCCCATTTCCTTCTTCTTCCCTCTTTCAACCCTTTCCTTTCTCCTCTCCCATTTCCTTCTTCTTCCCCCTTTAACCCCTTCCTTTCTCCTCTCCCATTTCCTTCTTCCCTCTTTCACCCCCTTCCTTTCTCCTCTCCCATTTCCTTCTTCTTCCCCCTTTCACCCCTTCCTTTCTCCTCTCCCATTTCCTTCCTCCTTCCCCCTTTCACCCCTTCCTTTCTCCTCTCCCTTTTCCTTCCTCTTCCCTCTTTCACCCCTTCCTTTCTCCCCTCCCATTTCCTTCTTCTTCCCTCTTTCATCCCCTTCCTTTCTCCTCTCCCATTTCCTTCTTCTTCCCCCTTTCACCCCTTCCTTTCTCCCCTCCCATTTCCTTCCTTCTCCCTCTTTCACCCCTTCCTTTCTCCTCTCCCTATTCCTTCCTTCCAAGCCCCACTCTCCCCCCCACCCACAAATCTCCTCCCGCATCTCATTCACCCGAGAGAGATGGCCGAGGCAGAACAGAAGTCGAGGCTGAATCGCGTTATAAGCGCTTTATTGATACAAATGAATTACACAAAACGGAGCAAATTGTGAGGCTTTATAAGACGTCTCGTGGCACGCTATGTTGTTGGCTCATATTTCATGCTAGAGTTGGGAGTAAGAGAGAGAGAGAGAGAGAGAATGAGGACAGGGTGGGAGAAAGGGTGGAAGACGGAGAGAAACAGAGGAATGAAGGAGGGCAGGAAGAAAGAATAGTAGGATAGAAGGATAAGAGGACTGGAGGTTGGGAAGAAGAGAGACGAGGTAGGGAAAATGGGTACACAAATGAAAGACGAGATGGTAATGATGAGAGTCAAGGAAAGAAAATGCGAGAGAAAACCCCATCCCACAAGAGAGAGAGAGAGAGAGAGAGAGAGAGAGAGAGAGAGAGAGAGAGAGAGAGAGAGAGAGAGAGAGAGAGAGAGAGAGAGAGAGATAGAGAGATAGAGAGATAGAGAGATAGAGAGAGAGAGATAGAGAGATAGAGAGAGAGAGAGAGAGAGAAAGAGAAAGAAAGAAAGAAAGAAAGAAAGAAAGAAAGAAAGAAAGAAAGAGAGACTGAGGCTGAGGCTGACAGAGACAGGGACTGGGACTTGGACTGGGACAGACAGAGACAGAGAGAAAGGGAGAGAGAGTGAGACACAGAGAGAGAGACAGAGAGAGAGAGAGAGAGAGAGAGAGAGAGAGAGAGAGAGAGAGAGAGAGAGAGAGAGAGAGAGAGAGAGAGAGAGAGAGAGAGAGAGAGAGAGAGAGAGAGAGAGGAAAGCGCACATAAGAAACAAGTAGAGAAATAAATAGAGACGGAGGAGGCAGCAGTGAAGCATTGCAAAAGATGCGCAAGAGCTCCTCGTGCTCTCCCTCTCATTCGTAATACCATTATTACTGTTATTCAGCATCATCATTATTACCGTCATCATTACCATTACCATCATTATTATAATATGGCGCCTTCATATGAAAGTGGAAAAAGCTCCAGACGATCGGTCTTTATTACTATAATAATTCTCATTATCACTATCGTCATCTTCTTTCATCATTGTAAGAAATCTAATCCCCAGGGAGCAATAAAAGGGAAGGAGAAATTGGCTTTCAAGATAATGACTGAAGAATTTACCCTCGGCGAAATGATTCTTTAAAAATCTGGTCCTCTAAATGAGCTCGTTCTTGAAGACCCATAAACATTTAACACGCCGGCGTGCTAAGCACACTTTACTTTCTCCTCCTCCTTCTTCTCATTTTCCTTCTCATTCTTCTTCTCCTTCTCCTTCTTCTTCTCCTCCTCCTTTTTCTTATTTTTGCTTCTTGATCAATCTCCTGCCTTGCATTGCTCCTTCATCCTTCTTGCTTTCTCTTCTCAATATTATTCTTGAGTGTATTCCCTTCCTATACGCAGTCACAAAAAATACACACGGATAAAAAAGAAAGGAAGAAAAACAATCAGCGGAAAACCAAACCGGCCTACCCATTCCGAAGACTGAAAATTCTGGAGTGCCACTTGAAGCTCCTCACGAGAGCCTTCCAAGTTGAAACTCCAGCAGGAGAGGGGAGAGAATGCGGGGAGAAGGGAGAGAGAAAAAGGAAAGGGGAACAAGAAAGAAAGAAAGAAAGAAAGAAAGAGAGAGAGAGAGAGTGAGAGAGAGAGAGAGAGAGAGAGAGAGAGAGAGAGAGAGAGAGAGAGAGAGAGAGAGAGAGAGAGAGAGAGAGAGAGAGAGAGAGAGAGAGAGAGAGAGAGAAAGAGAGATGAGGGAGTGTAACGGGTCACTAAAGCCGAACAGCAGGTAGGGACAGAGAAGACTCGTGACCCTTATGGGCACTTCACCGGACTCGGATCCCTTGCTGAAGTCGATAAGGCTCAATGGAGGTAGGAGGAACAATGAATTATCAGCTTTACGATGGCATTGGTGCCAGGTAGGTCATTAATGTAAAGGAAAATTAGTGTTCGAAGAACTCATCAAGCTGAGAGGACATAAAATTATACACAGTATTGCCAGACTACGTAAGTTCTTCGTAGCCCCCCCCCCCTCTCTCTCTTTCTCTCATCCTCACCTTCACCTTCGCCCTCATCTGTATGCTTATCCTTACCTTTATCCTATCGTCATCTTCTTTCATCATTGTAAGAAATCAATCCCAGGGAGCAATAAAAGGGAAGGAGAAATTGGCTTTCAAGATAATGACTGAAGAATTTACCCTCGGCGAAATGATTCTTTAAAAATCTGGTCCTCTAAATGAGCTCGTTCTTGAAGACCCATAAACATTTAACACGCCGGCGTGCTAAGCACACTTTACTTTCTTCCTCCTCCCTCCCTCTTCCTCCTCCCTCCCTCTTCCTCCTCCCTCCCTCTTCCTCCTCCCTCCCTCTTCCTCCTCCCTCCCTCTTCCTCCTCCCTCCCTCTTCCTCCTCCCTCCCTCTTCCTCCTCCCTCCCTCTTCCTCCTCCCTCCCTCTTCCTCCTCCCTCCCTCTTCCTCCTCCCTCCCTCTTCCTCCTCCCTCCCTCTTCCTCCTCCCTCCCTCTTCCTCCTCCCTCCCTCTTCCTCCTCCCTCCCTCTTCCTCCTCCCTCCCTCTTCCTCCTCCCTCCCTCTTCCTCCTCCCTCCCTCTTCCTCCTCCCTCCCTCTTCCTCCTCCCTCCCTCTTCCTCCTCCCTCCCTCTTCCTCCTCCCTCCCTCTTCCTCCTCCCTCCCTCTTCCTCCTCCCTCCCTCTTCCTCCTCCCTCCCTCTTCCTCCTCCCTCCCTCTTCCTCCTCCCTCCCTCTTCCTCCTCCCTCCCTCTTCCTCCTCCCTCCCTCTTCCTCCTCCCTCCCTCTTCCTCCTCCCTCCCTCTTCCTCCTCCCTCCCTCTTCCTCCTCCCTCCCTCTTCCTCCTCCCTCCCTCTTCCTCCTCCCTCCCTCTTCCTCCTCCCTCCCTCTTCCTCCTCCCTCCCTCTTCCTCCTCCCTCCCTCTTCCTCCTCCCTCCCTCTTCCTCCTCCCTCCCTCTTCCTCCTCCCTCCCTCTTCCTCCTCCCTCCCTCTTCCTCCTCCCTCCCTCTTCCTCCTCCCTCCCTCTTCCTCCTCCCTCCCTCTTCCTCCTCCCTCCCTCTTCCTCCTCCCTCCCTCTTCCTCCTCCCTCCCTCTTCCTCCTCCCTCTCCTTCTTCCTCCTCCCTCCCCTTCCTCCTCCCTCCCTCTTCCTCCTCCCTCCCTCTTCCTCCTCCCTCCCTCTTCCTCCTCCCTCCCTCCAAAGCTCTCGCCAGGTCTCTCATCTCCAGCACGAGCGGTCCTTCACGGCTTCCGGCGGTCGCTCACGGCTGGAGTTGACTTAAGCTAATTCTCTTCGCCGATGTTGTCTCTCTGTCTGCCTGTACGTATGCCTGTTTGTGAATGTGTGCGTCAGCCTGTGTTCTTGTCTCTGTCTCTGTCTCCACATCTGCCCGTACTCGTTCACCCACTCACTCTCACTCTTTCTTTCTTTCTCTTTCTCTCTTTCTCTCTCTCTTTGCCTCTCTCCCTCTCCCTCTCCCTCTCTCTCGCCCCCTCCCTGTCTCCCTCTCTCCCTCTCTCCCTTACTCTCCAAACACACCACTCCCACAACGCGTTGCATCGGCTATTTAAATTGTCTTCTCCTACATTTAGGAGACGTAGCATTTTACTTATGCGCGCGCGCGTGTGTGTGTGTTCGTGCTTTTGCGAGCGTGCGGGTGCGTGGCTGATATGGATTTAATAGCACATATGCATAGATATGGATGTGACTATGGATAGTGATTTTCTTATTTGAAAGTGTGTGCGTGTACGGTGTGTCTGTACGTGTACAACAGTGTATTCGCGCGTAAACGTGCACGTGTGCGTTTGAAGACTTCAACAGAAGCAACCTAAGGCGGGATGGGAGGCGAGTGATAGGAGGGGAGAGGGCGGGAGGAGGAGGGATGGGGGAGAAGGAGGCGGATGGAAGGAGGAGTGCGGGGGGCTGGAGGTGCCACTTAGATGAAGCGGATGAGATATTGTAAGAAGCGGAAATGAAATTTTCGAGGAAGAAGAAAGGCCGAGGAGGGAAAGGGTGACGGAAGGTGGATATTTAAAGAAAGACCCGGGCGCACACACACACACACGTATATGCATATGTGTATGGATATGTATACGTGTGTGGTGTGTGGTGTGTGTTGTGTGTGCGTGCGCATGTGTGTGTGCGCGTGTGTGTGCGTGTGTGTGCGTGCGTGTGTGTGCGTGCGTGTGTGCGCGTGTGTGTGCATTCGTGTGTGTGCATGCGTGTGCACGTTTGTGTGAATTCGTGTGTGTGCGGGTGTGTGCGGGTGTGTGTGTGTGTGTGTGTGTGTGTGTGTGTGTGTGTGTGTGTGTGTGTGTGTGTGTGTGTGTGTGTGTGTGTGTGTGTGTGTGTGTGTGTGTGTGTGTGTGTGTGTAAAACGATAAAAACAGTAAAACTGTTTAGATATAATACAATCAATAAAAACAATACAATCTTACCTGTATAGTGCGCCCGTACTGGATGACTTGTCCCAATAATTTCTTTCCTTCTGCTTCATTCTGTCTCTTTTCTGTTTCTGCTGCATGCTGTGGGCGAGAAACAATAAGTATAAGACAAAGCAAGTCAATCAAACCTTAGTTATTTAATAATCATACTGATGAGTTCAATTCCGACCCAGTCGTGTGACATTCTTCATAAAATGAGTTGTATAATTATTAATATGTAAATTTAATAATACAAGTAATATATTAAACATAATAGAAATGCTACTTGCTGAATTCATATGCCTCTGTAGACATAAATAGCCATAGGTAAAGGTAGACAATCAAACACAAATATTAGTTCTCTGATTAATTTTGTAAACATCTCAGAATTCCTAACTGGCTAACGTGAAAAAACAAACTGAAAGGCAGTTATAAAATCATAGAACACACACACGCGCGCGCACACACACACACAGAAACACACACACACACACACACACAGAAACACACAAACACACACACACAGAAACACACACACACACACACGCACAATAATAATGATAATAATAATAACAAATAAACAAATAAAAACAAAATAATAACATAAAACAAGAAAACATTTTAATCATTATGAAACTCATCACCTCGCCTGCAAAGTCTGTCCTCACTCTCGCACCTCGCACTCAGAAGCACACCCTCGGACCCTCTTCTTGAGAAAAAGTTCTTACCACATTTCGGCTCCGCCATTTGCTCCTTGCTTCTTTCCCCGCAACGCCAACCGCTAATTATAACAACAATACTAATGGTAAAAGTAGTAGCATTACAGTTACTAGCGAAGCCCAAAACAGTAATCCTGGCAAAAACAACCAACAACAACAACAACATTCCATCCAAAGGAAACCAATCTCAAAGCGGATGGGACAGAAGGGCCATTATCGCTTGCACATAATACCCAACATACGGGGGAAGGGAAGGACATCGCGATAAGCCCATGCATCCAGAGAGGCGAATGTCCGCCAGCGTGGTGTGACTTTATCAAAAAATTAATTTACACCTTCCACCCGCGTGTTGCCTGTGGCTGACACTTCGATCTCTATCACGTGTCACAAATTGTTGAAATAGGTTATGTTAGTGTGTATGTGGGAGCGGGGGGGGGGGGGGGGGGGTACAAGGGTGGAGGAATGGGTTGTGAATATAAGGGAGGGATATTGTGTGTGTACATGGGGGCAGGTGGAGAAGATATGTATGTGTGGTGTGTTTGATTGTAGGCTTACGTCTGTTTGTGTTGGTTTGTGATTGCTTATGAGTTTATATTTGTTTTATACGTGGTCGGCGCATACGCGTACATGCGTTATACCTTATCATTACTTTCCTAGTTTATTGGCACACTTCACCCGATAATCGTATCAATATGATCTAGGCCTGCCCCTCCCCCCACAGCCCTACACCTCTTCCCCCATTCCATCTCGGCCATAGAACGTGTTCCCTTAAGAGACACTAGGACGCGCTACCTGCACACACACACACATCCCCCCCCCCCTTCCCTCCCAACTCTCACTCCTCCTCTTCCCCATCCCCCTCCCGCTCCCCTTCCTCCCCATCACCCAATTCTGCCTTTCTGTCTCTCCCCTTTAGGAGGGTCGCCCTTCTCCCTCCTGTTAACCATTGTCGAGGTGCGTGTGTGTGTGTGTGTGTGTGTGTGTGTGTGTGTGTGTGTGTGTGTGTGTGTGTGTGTGTGTGTGTGTGTGTGTGTGTGTGTGTGTGCGCGCGCGCGCGCGTGTGAGGAAGGGGGGGAGAGAGAGAGAGAGAGAGAGAGAGAGAGAGAGAGAGAGAGAGAGAGAGAGAGAGAGAGAGAGAGAGAGAGAGAGAGAGAGAGAGAGGGAGGGAGGGAGGGAGGGAGGGAGGGAGGGAGGGAGGGAGAGAGGGAGAGAGGGAGAGAGGGAGAGAGAGAGAGAGAGAGAGAGAGAGAGAGAGAGAGAGAGAGAGAGAGAGAGAGAGAGAGAGAGAGAGAGAGAGAGAGAGAGAGAGAGAGAGAGAGAATTAAAAGAACAAAAGTGAGTGATGAATAAATTAAGAAAAAGAAAACCAGAACGTAAGAAAATCTAATGAGCAAAAGGCTTGAGTGATTTTACGAGCTGGCGAGCGAGCGTGTGCCTGCTCGCCTCGACGACCGAGGGGGGTGCAACTAGGCGCGGGCGGCCATTATGAACATTTGGCCTAAATAGCAGAACTAACCGCAAAATCTGACATTAACAATTTTTAACGATTAACGGTTCTTAATAAATAAAAAAATCTTTTTTGACATTAACAACGCTTAACGATTAACGTTCCTTCATTATCAACAACTTTTTACGATCGCTTACACATTAAGGAAAAGGTGATATAAATATACTTCCAACGAATAGAAAGAAATTTGAAGATGGACAAACAGGACAACCCAAAAATATGAAGATAAACAAAAATGGTGATGATGATGATGCCATAATAATGAAAATGATACAACAACAATCAAGCCAAGTAAGCGTTTCCTTCTGCGTGATATACAATTATGATATACAATTATTATGTGCTAATTTCCATAGTTTTTAAATTCGATCTCCTTTGATGAATTTATACAAGAGGGAAACGGAGAAAGGTGAAAAATGGATGGAAAGAAGGAAAGAAAAGAAGAAAGAGATGGGAAAGGGAAGAGGAAGTGCGAGAAGAGGATAAAGGAGTATGAATGAAGGGAGAAAGAAGAGAGACTAAGCTAAAGAAGAGAAAGGATATTTTTAGAAAAGAAACACGTGAACAAGAGTGAATTGCAAGCAAGAGACATGGCACATACAGAGATACCCGAAACAAATGAAAAACAAAAACAAAACAAAAACACTAAGCATTTTAAAAACTATACGGAATACACCAGAAAGAAGAGTAATATCCCCGTGTCCTATCGCTCTCGGATCAATTAAAGAGTCCAAACCGAAGAGGCCACGCACGCCCAGCCGACAACACCTCGCTGCTCGAAAATCGCTCTCGAAAATCTCGCCACGAAGAAACGCACGCGGTCGAAAGCCACTCGAAAAAAAGCGCCCGAAAAACTTACACGAATCGCCGACACTCAAAAAAACAGCGATTCGGTTTCTCATAATCTGTAATCAATTTCAAAAATAGCTAATCCGTAAAATACGACGAAAGGGAAAATCGTGTAACCATTCTGATACTAAAATCTCCCGAAAGAGATCCCAAACTATATTTCAAAGTACTAACATTTGCAAAAAGGAAAACAAAATACATGCCCCCCATTTTGGATAAAAAATTAAATTTTTTTGCCGAATATCAACTTGGGTGTAGAATATAGAATAAGTAAAACGGCTTTCCATTCATATAAAAAAGAAAACAAAAACTAATAAACGCTATTCTTTAAAAACAAACGACCTCTAGCGACCCGAGATTAAATAACATTGTCAACGTTTGGCTGTATATTTGGGTTCAATAACGAAGCGAACTTTATTTCATACGATAACTCGCCGCAGCCAACCGCGTCGCATTCGGTCGGGAGAAAAATGGCGCTCGCGATAGCAAAAAATAATTACGTTTCCATGTGAAGCAGATTGATCAAACGTGCGCGCGTGCGTGCGTGCGTGCGTGCGTCTGTGTGTGTGTGTGTGTGTGTGTGTGTGTGTGTGTGTGTGTGTGTGTGTGTGTGTGTGTGTGTGTGTGTGTGTGTGTGTGTGTGTGTGTGTGTGTGTGCGTGCGTGCGTGTGTGTGTTTCTTGTGTATGTGTGTGTGTGTGTCTTTTTGAGTATGTGTGTGAATCAAGCTGTGTGTGTGTGTGTGTGTGTGTGTGTGTGTGTGTGTGTGTGTGTGTGTGTGTGTGTGTGTGTGTGTGTGTGTGTGTGTGTGTGTGTGTGTGTGTGTGTGTATGTGTGTGCGCGCGCGCGTATGTATCTATCCGTATGTGTCTATGCCAGCCATGTCCGTCTGCACGATTGTGTGTGTTAGTAAAACCATCTACGCCCATTCACCCTCATGGGTCTTGGCTACAATACGTGCCAGTGAGATTTTTGCGATATCAACACGGATTCTCCAATTCCATCGCAAAGAGCTAACCCGACACCTTTTCTCCAAGGCAAACAAGGGATATCTAAGAACAACGGGAGGAACACGGGGTCGCCATCACTTCCCATTTGTTCTTTCAACAAAAAAATACGAAAAGAGAAAAAAAATTCAAACTCAAAGGAGTGTCGTCACAGCGGTTTCACAAAAGGCGAATGTCTTTGTACCCGCCTGATGTATACTAAAGTGGACATTCTTCCTTGCGGTGGCTGAGGTAGAGGTGGAGGAGGAGGAGGAGGAGGAGGAGGAGGAGGAGGAGGAGGAGGAGGAGGTGGAGGTGGAGGAGGAGGAGGAAGAGGAGGAGGAAGAGGAAGAGGAAGAGGAAGAGGAAGAGGAAGAGGAGGAGGAGGAGGAGGAGGAAGAAGAAGAAGAGGAGGAGGAAGAAGAAGAGAAAAGGAGGCGGAAGAAGAGGAGGGAATGGAGGAGGGTGAGGGAATGGAGATAGGAGAGGGAGTGGGAAAGGACGGAGGAGGGGACAGAGGGGACAGAGGGGAAGTAGGAGGCGAAGGAGATGAAGGTGACAACAACGAGGAAGGAGAAAGATGGAGGAAAATATATATAAAGTGGAAGAGAAGGAGAAAGTGGAGGACTAGGAAAAGAGAAAGATGTCGATGCTGAAGAATAAAAGGTTGACGAGAAGGAAGAGGATGGAGATAAGAAAAAGAAGAGGCGACAATGAGAAGATAAGAACAAAGAGACTGTGTTTAAGACAAAGACATATTGCGTCGGGATAAGCAAGAAAAAGATACACACCAAGCAACACTAACGCATGAAAAGCAAGACAGGGAGGCTGCTTTAAAACCTGATCATATCTCCAACATTACCCTCTTTCCTTATATAAAAATAGTTTCCTAGTAACTATTTATTTCCCAGACAAAACAACAATGAAAAACAATATAAGCAGCTATTCAGAGAACAGCATGTAATATCAAGGTACAACCAACCCAATTATACTTCGGCGGAGTGAATATAAAAGAATTTCCAGTAAATGTGAAAACATATATAAGAATACGTATGCGTGTCTAAATGTATTCAACCAATAAAGGTTTAAGCGCATGTGTACATGAGGTATTTAGTGAAAATTTGTACATGCCTACTGAAATTCATGTATATAATATACATGTATGTGAATATGTTATTATATACATTAACTCTTAACGTAAAATATGTAAACAGAGAAGGAGCGAGAACCTGTGCGATTGTGTGAGCATGTCTGTTTGCTGCAACTGTGTTTGTGTCTAATTCCGTACTGGAGCGTTTTTGTGCATTCGTGTACGTACATGTACCTGCTAAAAACACGAGACTCACACAGACGTTACAACATTAACAGAGACATCGACAATGGCCAAGTGAGGTCAAGGAGAACCAATCCCTCGAGGTCAACAAGAGTCAGAAAAGCTCGAACCTTTTGATGTCTCGGTCACCGGCCTAAGCCGGTCCCTCAAGCACTCACTCTAATTACGTTCCTCATTTATTCAACCATTCGCATTTCCTCGCTTCCTCATCCCGTATTCATTCCTATCAATTTCCTACATGATTCTCATTTCTTATACAGCCATCCTCATATATGCTCTTTCGTGGACTCTAATCTTATAGATCAAAGAGAGAATGTTACTTGTTGAAATAACTATCTTGGTTATAAACGATGG